TCCAGATGCCAGGCTGCTGAACACCAGAGCACCAAAAGTCCTTAAGGGATAAGAGTTTCTACATTCCAAGAAAAGCAGCAGTGTTATTATCACAGTGTTGTTCTAAGTAATAAAAAAAGCAATCCAGGCATCCAAGACTTAGTCTCGTGACCTTAAAATATGAATCAATTGTACCATATGCACTGAAAAACGGGGATCCACTGAAGGTGGAAGCAGTGCTTTGTCTTGCACTTTTCTCTCAAGCTTCAGACTTTCTTCATCCTAGGCTCGCATCAGTGAACCCTTGCTCACGATGGGTACCCAAGTCCCTTCCTTCTCCTTGGAGACCAGTGGTCACCTAAGATTCTAACAACTCAGGGGTAATTCCTCTGTTACACAGAATTGCCTTTTTTGCTGGCCTTTTGTTAATCCAGTTGAATTTCCTAATTCATTTCACCGCTGAGAACTGAAACAAGAGGGTCAGCATTGGGGGAAGATACATCAGACAGGACCGTGGCCAGATCACTACTTTCAGCAGCATTCCTGGCTTAAAAAGACTGAGCCTACAGCAATGGTCCATTCTTTCAACAGCTTCATGACACATTATCATCCCTATTTTATAAATAACCATCTGAAATTAAATTCTTATTATATAAGTGGCAAAACTCCCACTACCTTCTGTAAGAGCAAGACTGGACCAAATGTTGTTGATAGTTAAACCAAAAATCCCACAACTCTAACAAACAAACTAGGAAAAAGTCTGCCAACGTATTATTTTTACTTTCACCTAATTTCAGTTTCACTGCTACAAACAGTACAGAGAAACCAGAGGACATTCCTTTCTAGGAGAGGCATTTATGACAGGATGCATTCAGGAGTTTATTCTCCTTGTCAGTAGTTCTTTAAAATGAAATGCTGGGGTCAGACAACTATCAGGAAAAATAAAGTGCATTTTAAAAAGCATGAAAAAAAATATGATTTCTTTGATACTTTATGGTCAAACATCTGCTAAACTACCATTTTTCCTCAATTATGGGATACTCAAAGCAACTATTATATTTGTTTTGCTCAGATTTTTGGGGATATAATCAGCACTACCAGAAATTAACATAACCTTTCTCTCTATATATATCTGTATGTTTTGCCAATGCTGAAACACTGGAAACAGGACAAGGGCATTGACTAAATATGGTAAATCTCTGGTTTCGCAGCCCCCTAAACTGAGCACTTTCTAACATTTAATCCTGTTTGTAACCTAGGAATACATTTCTTTGAGGTGTTAACCATTTTCAGTCTCTACTGACTTCTAGAAATCCAGGTCACTCTGCATTTCATGTTTCTCTTCTCTCTAACACTATGACAAGCATGAAAGTTCCTCCCTCACTGTAACAAAACCAAAGGAAGAAAAAACTCTCTCTTTTCCCTGACATCTTCAAATTCTGGGATACATTAAAAGGGAATAGAGCTTTTTGTTCTCTTAAATAAAAATTATAATCTTTCCCATTGTGCCCTTTTTGTTGTGCAAATCAGACTGAACCTGGGAATTTGACATCTTGGCATACTGCCCAGTCCTGAAAAAGAAGATACAGAAACATGGATTTTATTCATGAGATCACAAGGTACCAAGAAGCATCCTGCACATCAGAACCGTCTCAGCCAGCGAGACAAGAGCTCTGAGCCAAACTCATATCTGGGCCAAAGTGGGTAAATCCAGGCAAATCCAAGAAATGGACAAAGTTCTGTCCATGTCCCATATGGTTTTCAGTCCCAAAGGCATGAGTTAGATAGAACACCAGCAGGAAGTGAAACACCCCTTTTAACCAGGAGTCAATGCTGGCTCAATGTTCAAGGCAAAAATACTACTACTACTGAGGGTTTCCTGATTCTTTCTCCAAGTGTTGTGGATTTTTTTCCACGCATTTGCAACATACGCTGAAATGGAAAGTGAGCAAACTTAGCACGTGTTCTGCCTATTTGGTCACTCTTAGGAAAGATAGGTTTGAATTTCCATAGACAGAAGGGAAAATGAACCCTCTCTTTCCAACATTCAAAGCCAGGTTTCTAACCACTGTTACGGTACTGCCATCTCAATAAAGAGTCCTTCAGACAGTTAGCTCTGGAAGCAGAGCTCCAGGAAGAACTTGATGGGCATGCAGGGACTGTGAAGTCCAGTATGAAACATTCAACATACATGTAGAAAAGCAGCCTTTAAACCTTCTGCCAGTGTTTCCTACTTTCTTAGCTCATCAACTCTCATGACTGGTGGCACATAAAGGAACAGGAAGAATATACAAAATGGCTGAGAGGATGCAAAAGCAAGAAACAGCCTCTTGTGCCTACCATTGAACAGGTAGAGTCGCCCCCTCTTGCTGCCACACTGACTCTGAAGGACAGAGTTCAGCAGTGCTGTCCTCGGTGTCAGCAGGGATCAGCAGTGCCAAGAAGGAAGGGCTCTGTCAAGGCTTTATAGATAGCATTTTGAGCACTGAGATGTCTGAAACATACCCCCACGGGAATACAGTGATTTAAACACACACCAACCACTAAGCCAACACCTAACACCTTTGGGATCACCTGTACAGTTCCCAGAGCATAGGCAGTAATGACCAGACCAAAGAGCAGCCATCTTACAGCTAATGCTCAGTGTCCCTCTGGCACAACCAAGCATGGCTGATTTGCACGACCTCACTCTGTGCAGCAACAGCAATACCATGCCAGCAGAATCAGCATTAAACATCTTGTCTCAAGTTGCATTATTTTGATTACAAGATGACTCACATTCCCACAGCTTCTTGGCTAAAACAAGAGAAATCAGATATTCCCTAACTGAGGGAAATGGTTCAAATATTTTAAATGCACTGTATGTCAGCCTTCTATCCCTGTTCCTCAAGGAAAGGGTAGAGTGACAATCGCTGGTTAAAGCAGAAGAATCTGGGAATAAATTCCTCGGAAGCAATGAAGCAGTGGCATTAAAAAACTTAAATATATGATTTTCATGCCATGTTCAAGATGAGGTGAGCTTTCGGGCCTACCTGAGCAGCACATCTCCCAGCTCCCGCCTTGCAGAGACTGGGGGCTTCCCTTGGCTTCCCTGTCAGTTTGTGGCCACTCAGCCCTCACAGCAGGAGCCAAGGGCTCACAGGGGGCTGGTGAGCCTGTGGGTATGGCAACCTGCCACAGCTCCCACACAGCGAGATGAGGGCAGAAGAAATCTAAAGAGCCAGGAAGAATAGGGTAGGTTTTAAGTGAAAAATAAGTCATTTCCTCAAAAGGATTCCACCACATATAAGAAGCTGTCTGCTCTTCAGAAGAGAGCTGATTACCATCCAGCTTTCTCACAGCAATATGTACACCTCTTCAGAAACATGGCTGATCTTGAAGGAAAGAAAAAAGGTAAGGAAGAAAGATGATGCTCTATTTCTAGCATCTGACAGTAGAAACCAGCACTGAAAACAATCTTCAATCATCAGTACAATAAAACGCTTAAAGACAAAGAAAAAAGGATCCAGTTAGCCACTGTGAGCGTTGTTAAAACGTGTAAAATATGCATCTTTCTTAAAAAAAAAAAAAAAAAAAAAGGCAAACCCATGTGAGTGCAAGTGAGTGCACAACTGAGGAAAGGCAGCAGCAAGGAGACTTCCCAGAACGTGAAAATGTTCACCAAGATTAAATTGCAAGTTCTCTTTACAGGTTCAGTAACACTTGCCTAACACCAAAACACCACTTTAATTTTAGCTTGCTTTTTAGGAAGCCTAGAATAGGAGTGCACTAGATATAGTGAGTTTGTAGGTTTAACCTTTGCTGTAAATATTCTACTGAAGCACTAAGCTTCAAATAGATACTATTAATGGTTTCATTTGTATTGCATTGTAGACAATTTACTTGAGTAAGGCAGAAATACCATCAACAAAACTTACAGCAGCAGTTTCTCAGAACAATTAAGATTTATTCTAAACATATCTTATATGTCGCCATTTTAATTTGTCATATTTTGTAGGACTATGCATTTTTTTTCTAAACAAAAAAGCCTATACATATAATTTGCTTTATTTCAATCAAAAAGCTCACTATCAGAAAAAATGTATGATTTGTAAGAAAATTATGATATAACGTTGCCTTTTATGTCCTAAATTTCTTTCCTTATAAAGGAACACGATAGCATTCGAAGCTGTCTAGGAGTAAGTCTACTGCTATTTATGCAGAACAGAAGAAGGTTCTACACAGCAATCCTGAGAAAGCCCCACACTAACATATACAAAAAGACAATCTAACAAACTAGTTCATTAGCAAGCAAGATGATGTCTGGGAGCTGAAAAAGACTGCTTTTTGCTGAGCTCTAAAGATCACTCTTGTTCCTGAAATAGCACATCATGTATGATCTACTAAAAGGCAGCACACTTTTCAGCAGCAGGTGCCAAAAAGTTATCCATGCAAGCCTGAGACAGCAAGTAGAAAGGAGGAGGAGGTGGGGAGAAGGAAGGACAAATAGACACCAACTGCCATGCTTAGCAAATGCTGGCAATTTGCAAGCTCAGCACAAGATTCTACTCCTCTTTTTGACTTTTTTTTTTTTTTTCCCTTCGTAATGGAGTACTGAACTTGGCAGGGCAGAGCATGGCAAGAAGAGTAGAAATCACATCAACTCAGCACCCCACCTAGAAGGGTTTTCTCTGCCCCCCCAAATCTCCTCACCCAATAAAAAAGGAACAGCCAGATAAGCCCATATCATAGGACCAAATTGCCCACTACCCTAAGCAGAGGAGCAGAATGTTTGCAAACAAGTTTTCAAGTCAAAGTATGGATTTAGAGGAGGGTCAGGAATCAGCTGGAATTTTACAGCTCCATTCAACCAAACTGAACCAAATCAGACTGTACCACAACCATATCAGGCATAGAAGTACCGGTAAATTGGCATCTTGTCCTGCAGAACCATGCTAGCAGGAATTAAAGTTTAGTTTGACCATTGAGAGAAAATACTGTTAGAGGTATGATACAGTTTGGTGTTAAAAAACAAGCATTACCTTCCGGAGGAGTTGCAACACTGCTTCCAAGTCCCAAAATAGCAATGCTGTGATTCCTTGGTTCCAGCATCATGGCAAACTCTTCTCCTCTTTCCCAGTGAGGTACTTTCACAGGCTCCAGGTGCACATTCTCCAGTCCGTCTTTCTGCAGGGCACTGTACATATACTTGATGGCTGCATCTAGATTTTTTGAACCACTTAGTCTAGGTCCTATGGTATCAGCAAAAACAGCTAATCTTTCATAAGATCTGTTCTGAGCTTTCCCATAAACAGCAAGATCAATAATAGCTTTAGCAATATCATAATAGCCAGCTATCTCATTTCTAATGTCTTCAAATGTTTTTGGGTAATTGCCATCTCTGCTGAAAGGCTTGCCAGCATATTGTGGCAATAAGTTCATGAAAAATATTAAGAATAGGTATTTCATTTTTTCTCTTCTCTACAGATGGCCTGTTGGAAAAGAAAAAAAAGAATTAAAAAAAAAAAAATTACACAGTTATCAGCAATAGTCTTTCTTGTTATTTGGATTGGCAGACAAACCAAAATGAAAAGTAGTCAGTTTATCATGAAAATGCTTTGATCAGAACTGCCAGGAAAGCAAAATCAACTTGAGGACACAATTATTGAAAACAAATGAAAAAGATACTTAGACCACTGGACACAACCTTTGTTGTGGTCTTCAGAAATGCTTGTGGAATGCAGCATCTCTTTAAACAATCATATCTTTCACTGAATAAAGACCCTGAGCTGCTCCCATCCAATAGAAGCCCCATAGCTCCCTTCTGCTAGAAGCAGGATTTGCCAGAATTCAATGTCTTCACACAAAACATCTGGACAAAAATATTTCTTAAACCGTTCATGAATAAAACTGCTTCTTAATCTCTATCTTTGTAACCAGGAAAGCACTTTCCCTCATGCAAGTAGAAATCAGAGAAATTTAAGTCCAATGAGCCCACAGAGAAAGTATTAACTTCTGCACTGCACAAACATGTGATTACCAGAGAAACCAAATGTTTTATTAACATGTTTATCAGTTAAGGAGTGACTTCCTACAGCAGCACTGCAGAGAGGTGCAGTGCTAGAGAGGTGCTGACTATGGGTCGAGTACTACAGTAAGCTTCTTTAACTTCATAGTATAACTCACTGATCTTTAAAAGTTCTCATTTTTAAGACTGGTCGATCCTGTAAAACAGATGGGTTGTCTATATACTATTAACTGAACTGACAAAGAAGCCACTGAAATCAGCTGGAGCAGTTGCAAAGCTTTTTTATAGAACAGAAGGCATGAGTATCCAAATAAAAAATAGAAAGGTCTTCACTGATATTTGCAAAAGGTAATATAATCACTTCATTTTCCTTTGAAATTAAATTAGGCTGAAATCTGAATAAATATTAGTCTTCAACACTAAACACCCACAAACTAGCACTAAAAAATAAGGCTCTTAAATCAGCCCTATCCCTGCAGCTGTGAAGAGACTTGAGAAATAGTGACATGACAATTGCTAGGAGGCCAAAAAGATTTTGATCCATCACTCCTGCCATTCTCATGGACTTTCAAAGACACACTTTTTCAAAACAAATGAAATTTGCTCCAAAATATAGTAAAACTAAAGCATAACATTAACCTCTATTCTACAAAAGATTTTATTGGAAACAATTTCTCTACAAACAACAAATGACTAATAAGTTGGATAACATGGATAAAATACAGGTAAAGCAGATCTGTACAGCGTAAGTATAACCAAAAGCTTTTATCGTTAGATTTCCAGATTATCCCTATTTGTATTTATTTAGTACTTCTTAAGAGTTACACTCTTCATTTTATAATCACTGACCTTAGGAATTACAATAATACACTCACTTAGGTGTTTTGATTCATAATGTTATGGGCACACAGAAAGCCAGTACAAAAATAGGTGGGAGGCTGTGAGTACAGAAGTATATACACATGTATTTGCATATACTATACCCACATATAATAACCATCATATACCAAAAAAAAAAAAAAAAGTTAATTTTTAAAGTATTGCACACAGCAGGACCTTTAACTTAGAATATAAATTCTCAGTCATTTTGTGGAGTAGGCAAGTTTCACAATAGCCAAGTAACTTTATAAATCAAACTGTCAGAAGGAACCGGAATATTTGTCTAATTTGACCACCACAGAATGATTGCAGAATATGCTTGAATTAACTCCTTCTACCAAAAGCCACAGAGCAAACCATCAGCTAAGTAATTCCTGAGGGAGCAGAAGTGAGGTTACACCAGTTGTGTACCCCTGGAAGCGCATGACAACTGTACTGAAGCCTTCTACCAGCTCCACTCTGAATGGGCTAAACTAAGAAATTACATTCCCATCTACGCTTGTTACAGTGAAACACAAATAGCTGAACTCATTTTCTCACCATGTTCACTCTGGATCATTTTCCAGCATTTGCTAAATAATAAATAAATAAAAGAAAGCCTTTGTAACAATGAAGACACCTCACCATAGAATGAATTCTGACATCACATCTAATATATGTCTAGTCTCATTTCCTCTCCTGTCCTCTATTAGCTTCAGTGTATTTATATTTCCACCTAGAAATCTTTGGCTCAGTGCAAGCTTCAGGAACTATTCCTTTCACTTCCCCTCGTTCAAGAAACACATTAAGGAAAACAAGAATCTCGGAAATCCAGATCTAGGTTTGATAGTTTGTACAGTTGCCACTTCTGGTTTGTTTGGTCTTTTTTTCAACTTACTCTTTCGAAGAAGTTTTACCATGACAGAGCATCCTAGGAGGAGAGCATTATCAACTGCACTGAAGAGTGTAGTTGTGTCAGTGAAAGCTAAGAGTTTATTCTCTCTCTATATTACTGTAAGAAAGCACTTGTAACTTGAAGCATAATCTCTGGGAAGTCAGGAACATGCATATTACAGGACAGTGAGGTTGGAAGGGATCTCTGGAGGTCCATCCATATCCACCCATTCCAGCACTCCGGTCTTCTCCATGATCTCAGCAAGACTACAGCCCCACAACTGCTCAAAGTTCTCTAATTCCTTGAGTTTATTCCCCACACTGCATGTGTGGGGAATATTGCACACAGGCACTTAGAAGCACAGATTGCCAATTGAAGAGGCAGCTGACCCAGAGCACCTTTCTGAGAGCTGTGAGCTGACCAGCTCCCAAGAAGGATGGGAGACCCAGCAGGGATGCATTCACAAGACACCATCTTAAATGCCAGCTGGTACAAGAAGACAGTTTTGTAGAAAAAAAACACAGAAAGAAGAAAAGGATTAAACACATTGCCAGAATTCATAAATGACCAGAGGGGAAAAAAAAAAAAAAGACAAATTACTTGGAGTCACAAAGCCCAGCTTATAGGCTAATCAATGCAAACCACTTACCTATCATAGGCCTTTGTGGGCCTTTCATAAAGAGCAAGTTCAACAGTAGCTTGAGCAATACATGAATATTAAACTGTTCTCTTTAACTATACAAATGTTTCCTAAACTTGAGACCCTGGCAGTAAAATATTCCTGAGAACGATGTGCTGCTTTCCCAAAAAAAACAAGAGAAATCACCTGTGACTTCATCTGCATACAATAAATCCACTGCAAAGATCTCCTCTCTTGCTGTAAGACACGAGGCAAAGGTCTGGCACAAGCTGGAGCTGAAGACTCTGGGGTTATCTCAGGACACTGACAGAGAACTGTAAAAAGCCTGTTAGAGTCTGAGCTACTGTTTATTTGCGGTTATAGTACACAGAGAGCATTGGTGTATTTTTACTGCTAAGCTCTGTACTTTCCCCATACTTCTTCCCTTTGGACCAGTTAATTACAAGCTCACAGACATCCTCTGCTAGACACATCAGCTATTTTCTCAGGACAACCATGCTTGTCCCTTGTTTTTTGCCAGGCTCACCATTCACAAGGGAGCAGGAAAGATAATCTGATTTTTGACAGAAAGCAAATTCTTGCCAAGTGGAGTAAGACAATTTTGTGGAGTTAGTTCAAAAACTTAAAACTTGGGCTTTTGTTTGATTAAGGGCTTGAAAATCTACTAGACAATGCTGATATACTTAAGTTGTTGAAAGGAAAACGCAGGAAGAATTTTTAATTACCATTTAATACCTCAAGGAGCCCCCAGCTACCAACTTCATGCATTTTTTTCAGTGGAGAAACAAAACCAGTTATCACATTCTCTAAGAAATGTTTCCTTTGCTCTTTCTAGCCTCATCCAAAACCAGCAGCATCCTTGCTCCAATGACTGCCCCAGAGGATCTGAATTTCAGGGCCATGCTTCTTCCCTGAATTTCCCACTGAACATTGAAAACAGACGTTTCCACAGCTTTTGAGGATGCAGCCAGCAGTGTTTCACTACCTGCCATTGCCCACTGGTAGAGCACATAACTGATTTCAAATCCTGAGCAAAGGCACAAGGATGGAACCACAATGCATCTCGCCTTCCTCAAGTAGACCAGCATAATCTAGTCAATAACTAGAAGCATTCAGAAATAATTTCTTGCTGGGTAAAGTAATGCCATACCCTCTTAGACTGCAATACAGGAATCACTCTGCTGCTAATTCAGAGAAAAGAGCACATGTTCTCACAGTCTGCAACATCAAGTTTGTCACCCCAGTGAGTCAGAAAGTATTGGTTCTTGCACATTTCACTAGCTGGATTCAGCAAGTGAGCATCACTGTGCCTGCCAAATTAAAAACTAATAATAATAATAGGATATGCACAAATCTTCAATGCATTTAATTATTCATTGAATGTCTTCAGTAAAACTTCAGAGCAAAATCAGATAGGAAGAAAACACGCTTTCAGGAAGTGCCATCCTTTCTCCAAGTCCTATTAATACAACTAATTTTGTGAGTCCTTAGTACAAAATAAGCATCTTCTAGGAGTAAGAACCTGGGATTCCCCCTTGCTCTTCTAGCAGGCAAGGATGCTCAATAGAGCATTACAGTTAAGCTTCCTCTAGTTTATTTCTCCATATACACACATCTTACATGCACAGAAAGGACACAGAAGGGCCTACTGTGTTCAGCCAGGCCTACAGCCTCAAGTTTAGGGTATTCTAAAAAGTGAAGCTTTCAAGAACATGTAAAACTTCTAACTCCCACCTTTCACTTCTCAAAATGGATTTCTAAATGCTGGCACATTAAGCAAAAAGTGGGAAGCACCACTGCTCCTCTGACATTTTGAGCAGAACCAATAGCCACTCACGTATCGGAGACAGCATGTTTATGGCAGATGAACTTGGTCTCTCCAGAGACTTCAGCAGGGCTTAAAGCTCCAGCCCAGAGGGTTATACAGGTTCCTACCTCTTAGACAATATAGAAAATCTGAGACAAATTTCATTGAGAAAGTCTGGAGCAAGGAAGAACTACCCTCAGTGGAGGAGGATCTGTTTATGGAACTGACAAAGTATGGGCTGGATGAGCAGGCACTGTGGTGGTT